GTAATTTTAGAGCAAATATCTTTTGCAATAACTTCTATGGTGGAAAAGCAATTGAAGGAGATTATAAGTAAATATGAAGAGAAAATTAACGTATTAAATACTGAAGTGGTTGATTTGAAGAGGGAAAATAGAGAGATGAAGATGGAGTATACCAAAAAAGTTGACGAGTTGGAACAGTACAGCCGGAGAAACAACATTCGATTATTCGGCGTGGAGGAGAAAGATGGGGAGGATGTCGTCGCACTTGTGAAGGACGTGCTATTTCAACAGATGGGCGTCAGCATTGCAACTACGGATATCGATAGGTGTCACAGAACAGGAAAGAAGCCAGCTTCTTCGAAGAACGCTCGGGGCAACGGCGCGGCGATGATTTCAATATAAGTAAATCTCGGGGTATTCTAATTAAGTTTAGAGGGTACATGATTAAAGAAGAAATATTGCGAGCGAGAAGAAAGTTGAGAGGATCGATGTACAGTGTGGCAGAGGATCTCACCCATAATCGATTAAATTGTATGAAATCGCTGAAGAATGAATACGGAAAGATGAATGTTTGGTCAATCGATGGTGCATTATTCTATAAAGATAAAACTGGTAAAAGAAATAGGTTCACTTTTTGATGTTTTTTTTTTTAAGCTAGACGTTATAATTGTTAATCAGTAATTACGTTAATTTTTTTGAGCTATAAACATGTTTTAATATAAGCATACGTTTTTACTGGCAAGACAGTAGAAGAAGGGAAAGGGATTTAATTGTTGAATGCTTTTGTTTTCTCTTTTTTTTTATATTCTTGTTTTTAGATTGTTTGTTCTGGAACAGAACTTATAAGCAATAATCAACAATTATATTTAATTTTGAGCCATATCTGTGTTTTGTAGTATAAATATATATTTTTACACTAAGCGTAAGAAGAAAGGATTTTTTTTTCTTTTCTCTCTTTTCTCGTTTTTTGTTTCTTTTCCGTTTATTTTATTTTTATTACCTTTTTTTTTCATTTGAAGTTTGTTTTTTCTTTTCATCAAAGTAATTCATCTTAATGTTAGATCCTTGCGATCTAAAATTGATGACCTGGTGAAGCTGATTGCTGATACTGACGTCGATGTGCTGGCTTTGTCTGAGACTTGGTTGTGGGATGGCGATACTTTTCTTGTTAGCGGATATAATGTGGTGCGTAGCGATCGTGGGTCCAGAGGGGGAGGTCTTTGTATTATCTTGCGTAATAATTTGAGTTTTTCTATTGTCCCATCTTCTGTAGAAATTGAGCAATTGTGGGTGAAGATTCGTTATGGATGTGATTATCTGTTTGTTGGATGCGTATATAAGCCACCTGCGGTTAATTACAGATTTTTTTTGGATGAGTTCGAAAATTCAGTTGCTAGTTGTCTAAGCACTACTGACAAGATTATATGTTGTGGTGATTTTAATATTAATATAATGAATATTGATAATGTTGATAGTGAATATCTTTTAAGTCTGCTTGATTCTCTTGGAGGTCAGCAGCTCATCGAACATCCTACCAGAGTAACTCTGAATACGGCTTCTCTTATTGATTTAGTTATTTCATTTGATAGGTCCTTGGTACTTCGTAGTGGTGTGCTCCGGTGTCACCTTTCTGATCATGATATGGTATTTTGTGACATAAGGATTAATACAATTAAAAAATCTCCAATTTTTAAATTTTTGCGTCTCTTAAAGTATATTGATAATGATTCTTTTTTACAAGACTTAAGATCAATTCCGTTTAATTATGTATTTTATATTGGTGACATTAATGAGAAGGTTTCTTTTTTCACAAATGCGTTAATTAACCTGTTTGATGACCATGCTCCTATAAAAAGGTATCGATTTACTAAGTCTCCTGCTCCCTGGATGACCGATAATATTAAGTTAATGATTACACTTCGTGATGAGGCTAAAGCTAGATTTAGGCATTCGGGTGAAGTAGCTCATTGGGAATACTACAAATCTCTTAGAAATTTAACTACTACAGCTGTAAGAAATGAGAAGAGAGCATTTTTCGGTTCCATTGCTGTCCCTGGTCATGGAGGCAAATGTGGTGCAAATTGAAGTCATTGAATATTAAATCACATAAAGATGCTACCTTGCCGTCAAATTTAAGGTTTCCTGATAAGATTAATGAATATTTTGTGGATAGTGTCAAAGAAATTGTTAAAGACTTCCAAGGGTCTGGTTTAGATCTCTATGATAGTTCTAGTTTTAAAAATGACTTTTCTTTTAAACCAGTGGAGGTCTCTTTGGTGTTGGAGATGATTAATTCTATTGCCTCATCTGCAGTTGGAGCGGATGGTGTCTCCATTGACATGATCAAAATGTCTTGTCCAACTATTTTGCCATATTTAACTCATATACTAAACTGTTGCTTAACTGAAGATGTATTTCCCATGGAATGGAAGCATGCTGTGGATGTTCCGCTGCCTAAGAGGGGTGACCCGCAGGAATATGGCGACTTGCGACCTATTAGTGTGCTCCCTGTGCTTTCCAAAATTTTAGAAAAGATTATGAAGATACAGTTGACAGAGTTCAGTTCCACATACTGAAGGGTTTACTCCCATCGCAGCAATCGGGCTTTAGGCGTGGGTATAGCTGCATTACATCAATGCTGAATTTAACAGATGATTTGTTGACTGCTCTTGACAGAGAAATGAATACCGCCGTAGTTTTCTTGGATTACTCTAAGGCATTTGATACTGTTAACCACACTGTTATTTGTAAATTATTTCAATATTTGGGATATTTGGGATTTACTGAAGACACAGTATCTATTTTACGTAATTATCTTAGTGATCGCACACAGCGGGTCAGGATTGACGATTCTGTTTCTAGTGATTTGGCAGTAACAAGCGGTGTTCCGCAAGGTTCTGTGTTGGGTCCTATTTTGTTTTCTTTATATACTTCGCAGTTCAGCAAATTTATTCAGTTTTGTAAGATTAACTCTTATGCAGATGATACACAACTGTACGCTTCTTATATGGATGCGGATAGTGGTGTTGTTGAATATAATATAAACAAAGATCTTGAAAAAATATTTACTCTTGCTTCTAAATCTATGTGGATGTGCTTTAGTAGTGAAAAGCGTGTTGCTGCTCCTGACTTGGCTATTAAGTTGAATGATACGTTAATTAAAAGAGTTTCAGAGGTTAAGTGTCTTGGTTTGATTTTGGACAATAATTTTAGATTTAAGCAACAAATTGCCATGTATATTAAAAGATCTTACTGCAATTTGCGAATTCTCTATCCGCATCGGTCATACTTGCCCATAAAAGTGAAAATAAGTTTGTGTGACGCATTTGTGCTCTCACATTTTAACTTTATGTCTGCTATATATCATGGCGCTATTGATGTGGTCACTTCGCGAAGAATACAGAGAGTACAAAACAGTTGTCTTAGATTCATCTATGGAATTCGAAAATTTGAGAGAATTTCTTATAAACTTAAAGAGGCTGGTTGGTTGAGTATGTGCAACAGGAGGGAATTTTACAGTTTGGTTCTATTCCACAGAATTGTGGTCTCTGGAATTCCGGAATATCTATATAATAAAATTATATTTAAACCACAGCTTCGTCAAACCAGGTCGGGAATGAGTTTCTATCCGCCGAGATTTAGAACTTCAATGTTCCAGCGATCGTTTACGTATCACATTTACAAATCATACGGATCTTTACCAATTGTGTTGCGACAGTTGTCTTTATCTCGATTTCGCACAGAACTAAGGAGACTAATGTTTTGTCAGCAGTCAGCGGATGTCAGTTGATTCTCATCTGAATTGAGTTTGTTTTTTTATTATTTTCTATTGCAGGCTTTACAAGGGCAACCTTATCAGGTTGTTTTTCTTTTTTCTTTCTTTTTCTTTTCTTTCTTTTCTTTTGTTTTTCTTTTCTGTTTATTCGGTTGGATAGAGCAGATTTTTCTGGATCCCGCCGTTTGTATCTCGATATGGGTATATATATGTATATGTTTTTAAATTTTAATTTACGGTAACACATTGGGGTATCGTTGTTTTCATTTATTGTTTAAGTTATTATAATTTCAAGATTATGCATACATTTATGTACATATTCATTTAGTTATACATTTTGTTGTGTATGTATACATATATATGTATATATATATATTTTTCTATTTGTTTTATATGGGATACAATAAAGTCATATTATTATTATTATTATTCCCCAATAAAAATGGGGGATAGCCATTTAAAAAAAATATCGATGACGTCATATATAACTTGTTTAAAAATGGCGGAAAAAATTTGAAATCTACACCAAAAATTTTAAATCTTTAGACTCGTTTCAGGGATTTTTCCATAAACCGTTTATTATGATTTTATCGCCTATATCCGTTACTTTACGGACATACTGTATATGGTCGATGACGTCACGTCGAAACTTTAAAGTGATTTTTCGGTAAATTTTACACTTTTCCGCACTTTTTTCAAATTTGTAACGGCTTAGTTGAATAATTTCCAGTCGATTAAAAAAAAATTGTCGATTTTTAAGCGACTTGATGATACTTCAATTATACCATAAAATCATTTATTGATGATTTTTAGAGGGAAAAAGATGAATTGGAGGAATATCGATATGTGGTAGCGACGGGTAATTATAAAAAAAGTGTCGGTGATGAAATTGGGGATGAAAGAAGGTGTAAAAAGTCGATTAAAAAGAGTAGTTATTTTAGCGATGAAGAAGAAAGTGATTAAAAACGTCTTTTTGATAAATTTATTTATTAATAACAAGAAAACGACAATATTTAGGGGATTTAATCACATTTGAAAATCACCGGATTAATTTATTTAATTATAAATTAATTTTGGCACAAAGTCGAACTTAATTGAAATAAATTAAAAATTTGTAACGAATAAAAATGGCTGGTTTTATTCGTTAACAATTTTTTTGTACCTTTTTGAGCTTTTTTAATTAATTTTGTGGATTAATTATTTACAAGCGTGCAGGAAAAATTGTTTTAACCATTATTTTTTTTATATACACATAAATATCTCTCTTTTATTTATAATATAATATATTTTTCATTTAATATATCGATCTAAAATAGTGATCTCTTTGGACGAAATAGAAGAAGTCGTGTAGTTAACGATTGTTCCATTTTTGTTTAAAACAAAGTTTTTAATTCTTCAAAGAATTGTTTCCAATTAATATCGATGTATTATAACCCTTCAAACAATACGGCATCACTTTCCCATGCGAGCAAGTATCGACCTCGTTAAAATCTGCTATTAAAAAGACCACCCCTAATATGGCCACGGTTAATCCGAACACAACCACGGATAAAGCTGGTAATTTCCGCCGTGAGAACACAAAACCTTCTTCCAAACGTAAATAGGATATCGCTGGAAGAATGTAGGCCAAAGGTACCGCGGCTAAAACACCCTAAAAAGCATTATAAAAGAATTTTTTAGCTTGCGTCAATTTTATTATACTCACGTTCAACTCTAAAACGACCCCTAAACAATCAGTTGACATACTAATTAAATAAGCAGTTGAGATAATCATCAAAGTGATTAAATAATGCGTCCGATCAGAAACTGGAACGTTCACATCCTTTTTAAAAATCGAAACTTCGATGACTTCCCGAGTTACGAAGCACTCAATGGGGTACGTTAATAAAATAGTGATGCTAAAAAGCAGGCGACTTGTATTGATTAAATCATCATCCCAGCAATAATTTTCTAAAAGATCTCCTTGGGAATAAGCAGCAAACGTTGCATAACCAGCAATTCCGAATAACAAAGCCACTAAAAGTGAGGTAAATATTGATGCGTGAGTTACAATGTCCCAACGTCGTTGATTTGCGTTTTGTATCGAGGTGTATATCAAAAATGTGTTGTGGTGGCACATAAATGCTAAAAATATAATTTTTAAATAATTATATAAAGATCGTTCTCAGAAGGGCAAAAAAGAGTCCCTGTAATATTAAATCTTATAAGCGTAAGATAGTTATATTCATTCAAGCGAAAAGCTATGTAGTGAGATTCATTAGTATCACTTCATTAAGTTACATTAATATTTTTTTTATGTAGGTACACATTCAGCTGTCCCTCTGGTAAAATTACAACAAACTATTTTTAAATCGGAAATCATAGTATATAGTATTATATCATTTTATTACTGTTTTTTTTTATTTGGGGTAATTAACCTCGTTTTAACCTCAACTTCGTTGCCACATCTTCTAATATAAATATTCGGGTCGCCATGGTTACCCGGCTCATAAAATACTTTAATTTTTCTGCTTTTTACTGTATATTTTTTTCTCGATGATATCATTTGAACAATGGCTTTTTCTTTTTATTATCAGAACGTTCGGGGTCTTCGCACCAAACTGCAATCTTTGCATAATAACCTCTTGAATGCGGATTTTGATGTCGTGTGCCTCACTGAAACGTGGCTACATCCCGGTATTTATTCCTCTGAAGGGTTTCCTTCCTCCTTTAATGTTTTTAGATGCGATCGCCCGAACGTCGCCGACAACAGTTTGCGCGGTGGGGGTGTTCTTATTGGAGTAGCAATCTAATGATCGTTTTATAATTTGTGGAGACTTTAATTTGCCTGAATTAAACTGGTCACTTGACCTGGATTCCGGTTTCGCCACTGCTTCCGGATCCGTCAGCGCCCGCTCCAGAAAATTTCTGGATGTTCTTTCCCTTTGCGGACTTAACCAACTAAATTATCATCAAAATTCTTATGTAAACACACTTGATCTTGTTATTACGAATTCTGCCGATGTACATCAATTATCTCTTTGTAGTGATCCATTGCTTCCTGAGGACAGTGCGCACTCCACTCTAAAGTTTTCCTGCTCAATTTCATTTACTCGTTCATTATCTATACATCATGGTGATGCTTTTTGTTTTAGAAAAGCCCGGTTTCCTGAATTGAATGAGTACTTTAATGGAATTGACTGGGAATCAGAGCTCGCTGGTCGTGATACCAATGACGCTGTTCAAATCTTTTATAACTATGTTAATACTGCTATTCGCGAATTTGTCCCTTTAAAACGCAAAGCTATCAAGGGTTTTCCCAGTTGGTTTTCATACAGTACCATTAAAGTAATTCGAGAGAAAAGGAGGGCGCACTGTAGATGGAAGCGTTTTTGAAACCGACTTGACTACCTCACTTTTTCAATTCTAAGGAGTCGTGCAAAGTATCTAATCCATCACAATTACATGGAGTATGTTAGAAGAGCTGAAACTAATATGCAATCTGATCCAAAGGTGTTTTGGGCTTTTACTAAGTCTAAGAAGCGTGCGGATGTCATTCCTTCTACGATGTCATGGAATGGAACTGTTGTCGGCGATGGTGTCGGAGTATGCTCATTGTTTGCTGATTTCTTTTCTTCGGTTTTTGTGGATCCTGCTCCAATCCAGCAGAATGTATATTGTATAGAAATGGATACCCTTCCTTTGAGTCAGATGCAGTTTGGCAGAATTGAGGTTGAGGAGGCCCTGATGGGCATCAGGGTTACAGACAGTATAGGTACTGATGGTATTCCATCAATTTTAATCAAGGGATGTTCACACTCCCTGTCCCTTCCTTTAACTATTTTATTTAATGCTTCATTGATAATGGGTGTCTTTCCTTTATTGTGGAAGCGGGCTTTTGTTCTTCCCATTTTTAAATCTGGGGATTAAATCCGATTACCGCCCCATATCTATTTTGCCAGCATTTAGGAAAGTGTTTGAGAAAGTAGTTCATGCACGTCTATTCTTTGCCCTTAAGTCTAAAATCAATCCTAGACAACATGGTTTTTTTGCTGGTCGCTCGGTGGAGAGTAACTTGCTTGAATATACCCAGTATATCTTATCTACTCTGGATGATTCTTGTCAGGTTGATTCAGTTTATACGGATTTTAGTAAAGCTTTCGACCGGGTGGATCACAACTTACTTCTGTTCAAACTAAAGAAGTTTGGTGTTCAGGGAAATCTTTTGCAATGGCTTGCTTCCTATCTGAAGGAGAGATGCCAGATTGTTTCGGTTAATGGTTTTTCTCTAATCCTGTGTCGGTTCCTTCTGGTGTTCCACAGAGTAGCCTCTGGGCCCTTTACTGTTTAATATTTATGTTAACGACATATTTGACGTCGTTAATTATGCCCAATGTTTAATGTATGCTGACGATTTAAAACTCTTTCTCCGTATCTCCTCACCTCTTGATTGTTCTAAACTGCAATCTGACTTAAACAATCTACATGCTTTTTGCTTAAATAATCGCCTTTCATTAAACTTATCAAAGTGTAATGTTATTTCCTTCTCTAGGAGGGTGAACACAATCCACTACAATTATAGCGTCGCTGGTGAGAGGTTGCAACGTGTCTCATTTATTAGAGATTTGAGTGTTACGTATGATTATAAATTATTATTTGATAAACATATCGATACTGTTGTCTCCAAAGCCTGGCGTATGTTACGATTTATTATGACATCAACGATAGCTTTTTCAAACATTGCTGCAATTAGAAATCTCTATTTTGCCTATGTTTACAGCACACTTAACTTCTGCAGCGTCGTTTGGAATCCTCAGTATCTCTCGTATAAATCTAAAATTGAGCGAATTCAATCTAAATTCCTCAAATACCTTTGTTTTAAATTTTCCATTCAATACATTGATTACGAATCAACTTGCACTTCTTTTCGTATGTTAACCCTCAACCAGCGTCGCTTTTGTGGGGATATATTATATTTTTACAAACTTTTGAACAACAAGTGTAGTTCTCCAATGCTTGTTGGTTCTATATGTGTTCACGTTCCTCCGAGATTACTTCGCTTTGATTTTCTATTTATGACACCTACTTCCAGAACCAATGCCTGTCAAAACTCTCCTTTATTGAGAATGGCAAGATCGGCAAATCGTGTTAACATCGATCTGTTTCAGCATTCTTTCTATGCATTTAAAATACTGCTCTTTGCTGCAGTTGGTGTGTTGCCTCGAGCGTTCACTTGATATTTGATATATGATATATTTATATCACCTAAACTTAGTTTTAGTTTTTTTTCCTTTTCAATCACTTTTGTACCATCAATGTTAATTTATTATTATTATTATTGTGAACTGTAATTCTATTTTATTTGTATACAATTGGTTGTTTGTGGTACAGTATTATTGGGTTTGACCTGTTTCTGTACCCACATGAAATAAATAAATAAACACTGCATAGGGAAGTTAACATGTTGACTGCCGCAATAGTAACTAAAAGTCTATCCATTCTGGCCAGAACAATTGGATCGCGTTATGCATCACTTGACTAAGCGACAAATGAATATAGGACTTCTCAGAATAGACAGGTTCCAACTATTGAAAATTATCACAAACGCAGAGGCCGGCTTGGTTACGATTTACGATTATACAGGCTGTTTCTGTAAGTCGTGGCATAAATTTAATCACATGGAAGAAGAAGGACATGACGAGGAAGAGGCAGAAGACGAACAAAGAGAGAAGAGGCCAAAAAATAACCTAGAACCAACACATCAAACAGAAAAAAACTGGAAATAGCCGTCGCAATAAAGACATTGAGAGTAGCACCGTTAATTCTAACGCAAAAAAACAAATGGAATAACGTGAGCCACCTCATGAATAAGAAGACATAAAAGCAAATCTGGTCGCACAGGGAATAAACATAGAACCTACAACCAAATAATTCAGTTCTACACATATGACTTAAGGTCAGAAAAAAGCTGAAGATAGTAATTAGAGAAGTCATGCACGAGACGACCCTAGAGGAAGCAGAAAAAGACCTAATGGCACAAGGATACTCAATAATAAAATTTACCCGCATGGATGGCAAATAGGGCAAACCAGCGCCAATGATTCTTATAAACAAAGAGTATCGCTCTATCTATTACATCACTAAGTTATGCGGAATGGCAGTCACTGTAGAATCGTTACGAACAAAAACAAAGATCATACAGTGCACAGAAAAACTGCAACGGCGAATTCAAGTGCAAGAAGTGTGGTCAAAGCCATATGACGAAGGACTGCACCAAACCTAAAACGAGTGCTCCGCATTTCGCCAACTGCGGCGATGAACATCTCTCCACTTCTATACGATGTGCAAAAAACCCGAACAACCCAAACTAAAAAAAAACTGTCAACACGCAAGAGAGAGGAGGTCCGTAGAAAGGAAGTGCTCCATAACGAAATAAATGATGAAAATACGAAACGAAAAGAAATTGAAACAAACGATGACAAAAAAAACACACAAACAATAACATAGACGAACTTAAAAGAACACTGGGCGAGATGTACGCTGAATTTGCCTTCACAATCCTACAGAAAAACAAATGAAAGCATTCCTCGTAATGACAAAGAAAATAATTAAAATATTCAACCATTAATGAGAGACAACAAATATATAGAATCTTTAAAAATAGCATTCTGGAACGCAAACAGCATAAGGCTGAAAAAAAACGAAACACAAAATTGATGTATTACTGGTCTCCGAGGCATCATTGAAGCCTTGCAACCGATTCAACATACAAAACTACAAAGTCTATCCAAGGGAGCGACCCGACGGAAGAAAAGTGTGAAAAGTAGTGTCAAATCAAATCTAACACGAAGAACTCCCAATCCCGAACATCACTCACCTCAACGCATACGGCATCAAAGTTAATACCAAGAAAGGAGGTATTAACATATTTGCAGCGTACCTAGCACCATCAGAAAAACTAGTAGAAGAAGAATATAAAAGAATACTTTGCCCAAACAAAGCGACAACCATTGCTGGTGATCTGAACTCCAAGCACCCAGACTGGAACAGCAGCGTCACAAACACACACGGTATAAGATTAAAAAACCTTGCCGAGGAAGTAGACCTACTGGTCATCGTCCCAGAAGAGCACAGCAAACACTTCG